CTTCTCATTTTACTAACACTTTTTGTTTTTTACTAACATTAATTTTTATTAAAAGTAAATCTCATAAAAAAAATTTATTTTATATTTTTTATTTATTCGCTCGTAAAAAAATAAGGCCTCTATCATATAAACAATGCATTACCAACTTGTAAAAATATATCATATCATAAAAAAAATTCTATGACCCGTTCTTTTATTTTTTCAGTACATAGGTAATTACGACGTATTTGCAGAATGTTATTTGCACCACATGCACCCAGATTCACATTTGTAGATACGAGTCGTAAGGGAGTTAGTAATGAGTTAGTAACTTAGGTAATTAGCAACGTACCGCTTTGTCGAAGGCGGGTTTATTATCATTTTCGTCTTCGATGATGACTTTTAATGCGCAAATGGCATCCAGTTGCGGTCTTCCATTGTCAGTCGCAAGTATCGTGAGATAAGCTTCCTTTTCTCTAGCAGGTTCGTCTCTGTCGAGTACCTGAGTCGTCGTAATGAGGCCTGTCTTATTGTCGATGTCGAATTTTATTCTATCCCCAGGAGCAATCAGAAAGCTATAAGTAACGGTACCTGAAAATGCGAGATCAGATGATTACCGAATCTAATCTAAACTAATGTACAGTGATGGAAATTGGAATCTTTCCTTCGGAAACTTTCATAAATTAATCATAAAAACTCGAATATTTCCGTGAAATATTATTCGAAATCAAATTTCTCAAAGTTTTAAACATCTTGAAAGTTTCAAACGTCTTGAAACTATTGGAAGAGTCTCGAATATCTAGGGATGATATTTTTTCAGAAAATTTTCTTCGAAATATATTTAGATATCTGAACGTATTTAAAACATTTGAAATATCTGTTCTCTTTTACAATACTATATTTTATACACAGGCAATAATCTTATTTTTAAGTTAAACATGTTTTAGAATATTCAACAATTTTAAGACCTAAAATTCTTTCGATTTCGAGTGGAATAAATTCGAAAGTTTTACATATTCAAAATTGTTTTTCTGTATGACACATCGCAAATCTAATCACTTGTAACATGTTCCACTTTCTTCCATCACGATTTGTTAGTATGAGAGAAGAAATAATACGTATCTCTTCTATTACACACAGCTAATAAGATATTTCTGTTCGTCCGACATATATATTTTTGATCTTGTTTTTTCCACCAAGTCGCGTGTAAATTCACCAAAACTGATAAATGCAAAATATATTAAGCACATGATACTTTCCTAAAAACAAACTCGAACATAGATCGCGTGTATTGGTTCTCCACATTTTGATTCAGAGTCGTGAAACTTTGAAAGTCTTTGAATATAAATAGTTGGTGCATGTATATGTTTTGTCTTTTTACAACCTTAATTTACCACCACGTTTTATGTTTGATACGTGTGATATATATATATATGATGACGTATATATGTTATACAATACCTCCATCTTCTGGTGGATCTCTATCGTCAGCGTGCACCTGAATCACCTTCGTATGAGGCGGTTGCTCCTCCTTCAACACTGGCGCGTAATTTGAGCAATTGGAGAATACCGGCTTGTGATTGTGATTTTCATCGAGCTGAAAGCGTAAGAGAAACGGACAGCTATTAGGGCGGATGTTACTTGGCGCGGAGCACCCCCTTCGAAAGATGTCCGGGGGATTAATCGGTAAACTTGACATCCCGCGGGGTGGGACGCGAAGAGAAAAGACTTTGGAGAACAAGGCGTTCGGTAAATCAAAGCGCTCTTCATAAACCGAGCGCCATTAATCACGGCGCGTACTCCGGCGGTCTATTATGTCGCATTTCCTCATAAAAGATCCAACACGACCTAAAGAAGGGCGAGATAGAAACACCGAGTGAAAGAGAGAGAGAGAGAGAGAGGAAAGGGGTGTGGTTAAAAACGGAGCACACTGTACTTAGATGCTTCATAATAATCGTCGTTCACGTCGACGATCTAGAACATGTGGCAAGGTTGAGCATAAGTACCGCGGCTTTGCACAAGTTACTCGGTCTGTTGCGTCTCGGTAAGTCGTATTTCTCATAAATTATTATTCGCAACCGCCTTCGTACGTTGCGTTACCATTTCATCACGATTAGGATCGATCCGGTTGTGTTTAATGTACGTAATAGGTACGATCGACCGACGTGGCGTTTAACTTTTATACTATAGAATGAATATTAGAATAGTGAGAGAGAGAGAGAGAGAGAGAGAGAGAGAGAGAGAGAGAGAGAGAATGTGTATCACCGGCAACGACGTAAAAAATGTGCAAAGCAAGAAATTAATTTCGCAGATGATAATACGTTCGTCGTCGTAATTTTTCAATTCGCTCCAACCTCATGTTAAAACACGAAGGACACGCGTAATAATGCTAAGTATTCTCGCTCTCCCTAAGCGCGCTTACGTTAGACCGTTATCTTCAATGTAATCAAATGGTCGCGGCATTAATATTCATTACTATTTTCTGTCCCGCGGGGGATAACGACATTCTTAGGTAAACAACATTTGGTAAGAAATATAATCCGCGTGTGCTCGCCGTGTTTGCCCGCACGGGTGGAGCACGACGTCTCTCGGCATCCAGCAAACCCCTTAGACCGCTTTAGAATTTCGCGCAGCACTTTGCCGGCGTTCATGCGTTACTCCGGCATATAACGCCGGCACTCGCTCTCGTACTTTCCAGTCTCATTAATGATAAACAAGTTAACCATGTTTTAGCATATTAACTCCGTTATGTTACATCCATGGCTACCCGTCGACTCCGAAAGAAAGTTTCGTCAATTAAAATCCGCAACTCAGGGCATTTGCTGGATTTAACAAAAAAAATTTTTTTTTAAATCCGCGAGGATTCCGATTTTTTGGACGCTTTTATTCGAGGAAGATAAAATCAAAATATCTTTAGACGCAAATTCAAAGTAAATAGTTCTTTCATAAAATAGATATTTTACGTTGCGTAAGATGTCTTTCGTTTTTTTATTTGCAACAGACAAAAAAAAAATAGAATCTGTTATAAAGAAAATGTCAGTCGTTTAAGTAAGAGGAATCTTTTTAAATAAAACGTGATTTATAGCATTTCGATACTAGAAATATAACGTTTGCAAGCAAATGAATAAGATCTTTAAAAAAAAAAAAAACAAAAAAAAACAATTTCAACAAACGTTCTTCGAGTCCCAATAAAATTCTCGGAGAGTTTCCCCGATTTATCAAGATAAAGAAAAGATTCCTAGAGTGTTCCAAGTTTCTCAGATTCTCCAAGTAGATATTTTGTAATTACTACGTCGTAAGTATGTCCGTAATAGAAGAAAAGCTCTTAAATGCAAAACAAGAGCTACAGGTCATCACAAACACCATCATCGTTAACGTTACTTTGTCAGTGTGGTGAGACGAATATACGATCGTGTTAGTTAGCAATGTTCCATTTAATGTCGGCGTGAATATGATACTTGAGTGAATCCACAGCGGTGCAGGTGTGCCGTAAATCAAGAGAGAAAACTGACGTCTTTATGTGTGTATATACTTATATAAGCGAACAAGCGGCAGCTTCTCTCCCTTAAGGGACTTTGTGCCGAATTTAAACTAACGGTACAAACAAGGTCGCCAGATATATACTCGACTGAACTGTTAATTTAATATTGAAAACAAGAAAGCTTTCGTGCGATGCGAACTGCTCGCGACGTGCGACGTTCTTGCGCGTTCAATATGCGTAAAACACTGACAAGCTCCGCCACGACCATCTCTGGTTTCGCAATGTAAGTTCGAAGGTAAATTAAAAGCAATGAAATTCTATAAAGGAG